ACCAAAAAGACAATCTTTTAAAAATTAGTTTTAGACACTGGTTCTCACTCAAGTGCGGCTGCTGGTGGTGGCACGTGGCAAGTTGACACTTGGCAAATGGCCACTGCCACCACAGCTCTAATTGGCTCCGTCTGCTGCAACTTTGGCTATCATCGCCTTATGCCCTGGTCCCAAAGCCATGCTTTCTCGTTGCCTCCATCAAAGAAAACCTGTCTCTCGACTGTCACTTGGTTTGATTGTTTGTCTGTCTGTCTGTCTGTTTAAAACATCAGCCCCATTGATAGCCGAGTTGCTGATAGCGTTCATCATCCAAGCGTCAAATGAGTCGGACTCGTCTTTGGGAATCTTATACAGCAGCCGACTCCTGCCGATCAGCAAAGGCAATGCGTCACTTGTCACTTGTCAAATGTCACGCGTCACTTGTCAAATGTCACGCGTCACTTGTGGAGCCAAGTAGCAATATTTTGAGCTTGGTGACAAATGGCAATGGTGTCAAGTTGGCAGCGACGGATGGTGACACATTGTAGTAGGCGTAGATCTCTTCCCTAAGTTAAAAATGCATGCCACTGACAAATCACAAATGACAAATGACTGACTGACATAATCTAACTTGCCATCGAGATGCAACACCTCATCATCCTGGCACCATTCCATCGGGCCACGTGGCGAAGGTGGCTCTTTTTTTTGGTGACTCTGGCGCACCTGGCTCGTCACCATCATCATGTGTCACATCGGCAGGATTGTCAGGTGTCACCTGGTCCTGGTTCTGGTCCTACTGCTCCACAGTGACACTCTCCTCCTGCCGTGTGTCATCATGCCAAGTGGCATGTGACACATGTGACGACCAGCCACTTGACCAGTCGCCAGACCACGACCAGCCGGACCAGCTGTGCCACCAATCATCAAAGCATCACCATGCCAAGGCCACGCATGTGGCATGTTCTCAGGAGGAGGTGGTCCTGGTGGTGGCCCTGGAACCCTCACAAGGGGCATTGGCAATGTCAGCCTGGTCACCTGGCACGTGGTCACCTGGCACGTGACTGGATGCCTGCTGGCTGGATGCCGGCTGGTCACCTGGCACGTGGTGACTGGATGCCTGCTGGCTGGATGCCTGCTGGCCTGCCCCGTGGTGACTGGATGCCTGCTGGCTGGATGCCTGGCCCACTGGGCTGGGTTGGCCACTTGTCACCTGGCTGGATGGCGCCGATGGTGCCATCGCTGGAGCTGCCTGTGCTGGAGCTGCCTGCGTCGGAGGTGGAACAGTTTCCTTGCGCAGCACGCATTTAGTCATCAATGGTGACATGTGACATGTGACACTATTGAACCAACCGGACCGTGTAATCGGTTGAGACAAGATGCCATTTGCGCAGGTGGCATAGGATCCTGGATCTCGATCAGCGGAATCACATGCTGGTAAGTCCTTGGAAGATGGGAAATCAACAGCGATGAACAACAATGGCAGCAATGCGTGCGATGCGTCACATCATAGCTGGCGAGGCACCGGTGCAGGTTCCAACTGTCTACAAAGATTTCCAACGCCCTGATGCTGACATTCTCCAAACTTCCAGCGGCATTGGCCCACATGGCAGTTGGCAAACACCACAGCTGAGCCTTCTCCCTTAGCCGAAGGACAAATCGAAATCGAGTCACAAATTACCCAAGGAATCCTCACGCAACAGGACCAAAGCAGAATCAATTTAATTGAGCTATGCTTCAGTGTCTCCTGTTCATTGTAGAAAGCGTGCATGCCAACGCACATCTGTGGAAATTGACGCTCGGAAACCAACTGCTGGTACCCAATGATAACATGGCAGCCAAAAGCCTTAGTTGAAGCACATTGGTTGACTCGTTGACACCACTGTCACGTGAGAAAAAATCATGTGACCTCAGTCAATGCAAATGGCATGTGACATAAAACATTGAAATTTGAAATATGTGACATCTTACGTGCGCAAACTCAAATGCAAGCGGGTGGCATTCTGGACGTGTGCAACAAGTGCGCAAGGCGGTGTTCCCAACGGTCGCACTCCCTGAAGCCGAGGGCCAAATCCAGATCAGCCACCGTGTGGATATGGGAAGAGTTGATCGTGCAGCCAATCTGGCACATGGCAAAATGGTCTAAGAGTTCTGTATATGAAAACGCACATTCAAAGACTCAAAGATGAAACACTCAGACTTAGCAACATCCCCAGCATGAGCCTGGTTCAGGCACTTGTCACTTGTGCCATATGCCACAACCAGGATGGGTTGCGAGGACCAGGCCACTGAGGTGCCTTTTGGCGTGACGACGGTTTTGGTCTCCCACGCCTTGCCCCAGTCCACCTCAGCAGCAAAGTATGACAATGGTGTGACAAATGACACATGACAAATCAGTTGACGCGCAAGCCAAAAATTGAAACATCAGTCGAGACGCAGTGCTGGGATCTGGCCATGGGCTCTTTGGCACTGGCACATGGCGATTGGCAAATGCAGCAGGAATGTGACTATCGTCAACCTGAGGTGGTACATCATTCCAATAGTCCTCATCCCATATGCTACTTGGATGGGCCGGCTTGTCGGAGGGTGGCTGCGGCTGTGTCACACCTCAGCTGCTAAAAAGACACGACAAGCAAGGAGCCACATGTCATTTTACAATAATAAGTAATAGGTGACACAGCGACACACACACACAGCACATGATTTATTCCAGGAGTCTGTCTGAGTGCATTCTCAACACCCTTCAAAATGTAGCCAGACTTGTCAGTTGGATCAGCTCTCTTGAAGGCAGCCCTTGGCAAGGCGAAAATTCAAACAATTAATGAATTGTGAGCATGAGCCGGTTCAGATGTCCACAGCGCTGCCAAGACACACCAAATTCACAGCAGCCTTTTTATCTGCCAAATGAAGCAAAAAAAGTGCCTGAGATCAAGAGGGTTGAGCAAGTGACACATGACACATGACTCAAACATGACACATGACAAATGATCAAGGGGGTTAAACTTCGGCAAAGGCACCCACACGCACTTCCTGAATTCAATCAAGTTCATGCTCGCAAGCGCAACCCGAACACAGTCACAAAAGCACCCAGTGCAATCGAGCATCTTCTCCGTGCACACGGAGGTGTCAATCCCCTCGTCCTCCAGGATCTCTTCAGCACGCGATGGCTGATCGTACCCGTCCATTCACGATGGCAATTGTAATATGAAATATGTGACATGTGACTCGGCATGTGACATGTGTTGGAGTCTGTGATGATTTCTGTGACTGTGACGCCTCATGTGTCAACTTGATCCAAGAATATCATTGAAAGGCAGCTCAACTGTCAACTGTCACCATGACACATGTTTCTCACTTGTCACATGCTTGCAAGTTTAAAATGCTTGACAAGTGATTGCACAAAATGACTCGATATCAATCTCGCCTTCTCTGACATAGTCCTTGAAGAAAGCACCCAAATGTCGGACCTCAACAGTGTGACATGTGGCATGTGACAATGTCAATTGAATGAAGCACTCCCGAATCTACCACTAATGCAATCTTCTGACTGACTCTTTCATTGTCAAGTGACAAGTGGCTCTAAAATAATAAGACTCGAATCAGAATGCGTGCAACTGAGGCATATGGCATATGGCATGTGATCCTGGGCAGCTGACCAAGCCATGAAGATAGCCTCAAGTCAAACGGAGCCGACGATTTCAACAGGAAACATGACTTCACATGACACATGACACTGACAATTCATGCAATGGCTAGAAAGATTGCAGAAATACCAAAAAAAATCCCTCAAACGTCCACCCAGCCACTCATTGATCCCGACACGTTGGTGAGCTTCTCATCAAACTCCGATCTCTTCCCCGGAAAGTTCACCATGGACACAGAGTCGCGAGGCTGGTTCACTGGGGGTGTTTGTGGCCCATAGGAATGAGGTTCTGTGATTGGAGTCTGCCACGCACCTGGCTGTGCGCCTGGCTGTGCTGACGACTGCCCCTGTTGTGGCTGCGAATGGCCTTGTGGGTTCCAACCGGCCCATGAATTGGCGCTCTGTGGCTGTGGCTGTACAGATTGAATCACAGGCTCCGGCACAGGTGGTGGAGGACCGACCATGGTCCAGCCAGGCTCTGGATTTGCAAATGTCTGCGTCCCTGTATAATTTGCCCACCCGTTGTTTGGTGGAGGGGCTGCGGAAGGTGGTTGCATGGGGGTAGCTTGCATTGGCGGAGTCATCTGTGGCATCTGTGGAGCACCTGAAGCTAAAGCCCAAAGGTTATTGGCATTTGCAACTATCACTGCGCCTAGTCTTCACAGGATGATACAATTTGAGAAGAAACATATTCAACTTCCACGCTCGAATGTGTTCAAGTGCTTTTATGAATTCATGATTGCTTGCCAGTCAGGTCTGGCAAATCACAATGTTCATAACCCTGTGTTGCTCATAATATCTCAAAATGGTGTTTATTGCAAAGCTGAGACGCTTTACACTGTACACAGTACCAGAGTTGAGCAAGAATGTGGTTGGCCACTGGCTGGTGGATTTGCGAGTTGGATTTTGATTAGACCTTTGACAAACGTTCGATGAGATCGATCGAAGATTAAATAGCACATGTTCTCCCCTGGGTTCTCCATATACTCAGCTCCGATCAGCCAAAGGCCCAAGGCGTTCAAAACGACTGCAACACCACTGACCTGCTGCTGAGCAACCAGCAAAGGCTGGTGGTGCCTGCTGCTGAGCTGCCGGCATCGCCTGTGGTTCTGCAGTGCCTTTGGCCATCTCGATGGCTCCATCCAGCTCATTGATTCTAACCTAGGAACAAGAAGGCTATACTAGGAGCAAAGGGCATCGCGACGAACGGAGCAAGGACGCTACGAACGGGGCTCCTGGCCTTACTACTAGGAGCAAGGACGCTACGAGGGACTTGGGGAGCCATCCGATTCTAACCTGGGTTCCAAGAACTTGTTCAACATGTTGGCAACGCCGAAGGACCTAGTTTCTTCATGGACAAATCGCACACCTTTCAACAGAGTCAAGCAACCCACCCTCCGGCAATCCTCACTTTGTTCCACACCCGGTCTCGAACTTGTGAAATGACCACACCGTCACCAGTGTAGGTGGGATAAAGAGCCTTCCAGTGCTTCTCAGCGCCAAGGTGTTCGTTGTAACCACGATGGCGCTCACATAAAGTGCACTGCGGATCAAGGGGGATGGGCTGAGAGGCCAGGATTCTGACCATGATATCCTCAGCCGGAGCCCATGCAGGTGAACCATGCGCTTTTATGAGTCCGTCAACACCGTAATTGTTGATGGAAACAACAGATTCGGCAGGCCTGAATTCACCAAACCCTATCTCATAACATTTTGTCTCGATTGAGTATACTCTGGTGCAGGAAGTTGTTCAGCAAGAAAGGAGGGTGCAGCGAGCACCAAACATTGATCCTCCAAGCAACTGCTCGAGGAGTCATGCTTGCCTTAAATTGTGATTTGCCAGCCAGGTGCGGGTAGGCACGATAATCTCCATTCGCATTCGTAGCTTGGCTGACTGGTGGGTACGTTTCAAACCACTTTCCTGTCAGGTGCCGAAAGAAGTTCAGGTTTGATGATTCATGCTCCGGTCTTGCGTAATGGCTTCAAATGGTGTGCACAAACAGATTTGACACATGATTCTAGATGATTGTAGTATGTCTTGTTCCTTATTTCATTTGTCCAGGGACAAAAAAAACAAAGCTGTTGGAATTCGCCAAGAGATGCTAAGAGTTTGGGTCCGGGTCTGCACTTTGATTGCCCCCGCCTTCTTCAGGAAGTTGTTGTGGCGTTTCGATGCCCCGCATGACTGCGGCTGGTACAACGGGCAGCGGTGCCGGCTGCGCCGGTATGGTCGGTGACACTTCGAAGGCCGACGAGCAAACTGTCGATGGGGGCCGACTCACCTTGGAGGTGTCGAAGTTGGCAAGAAAGGGCTCCTAGTAGCGTCCTCTTGTTAGTAGTAGTAAGGCCAGGAGACCCTAGTAGCGTCCGTGCTCCTAGGAGTAAGGCCAGGAGCACCTAGTAGCGTCCTTGCTCCTCGTAGTAAGGCCAGGAGCACCTAGTAGCGTCTTTGCTCCTAGTAGCAAGGCCAGGCGCCCCTAGTAGCGTCCTTGCTCCTAGGAGTAAGGCCAGGAGCACCTAGTAGCGCTAGTAGTAGGGCCAGGAGCACCTAGTAGCGTCCTTGCTCCTAGTAGTAAGGCCAGGAGCCCCTAGTATAGTAAGGCCAGGAGCCCCTAGTAGCGTCTTTGCTCCTAGTAGTAAGGCCAGAGGCATTGGGCTCGAGCCTGCACGGGGCGTGCCTGCAACCTTGTCGTAAGACAGGGTTCGGATCGAGCCATGGCATCCATGCATGTGGAGTTTCTCCGATATACCTTTCGAAGTTCATCCAGCTGGAAGGCCGCATTTTGCTGTCAGATCACTGCTTCACAGACGCTTTTGAGAACTCGCGACTATGCCCTTGTTGAGGTCCTCACCACACAGGGTGCAAAGCGTATTTTGAAGGTGAGTCTGGAAGTGCTGCCACACCTATCTACAAGTCGGCCATGTGTTATGTACATTTGGCACAAGTATGGGAGTTGGCATGCAGGTGTGAAGATGCCACCAGCTGACGAAACAAGTGCAGATGAGTTCATCATGCAGGACCTCCCAGATGTTCCACCGGGAGTCTCCGACCCTGGTTACAAGCCCCAAATTGATGATTTTGAACCATGGGCTATGGAATATGAAAAGTTCGATAGGATGTCCGGCTATGGCCTGACCCAGTCAGATCCTTTCGATACAGAACCATGGGTAATGTTGGTCTCCTCCAAGTTTGACACCAACAGCAAGACGATTCATCAAGAGTCTTCAAGCAAAGTGGTTCATCACACAGTGTGCCATCATGACACGGACAATATGTACACAGGAGATCAGGAGGATTTTGAACCATGGGCGCAGGGATATACCTACAGCACCAAGGCTGTTCGGTCCGTGCCGGTATGTGTACACCCATATGATGACCCGCTTGAACCATGGGCGATGTATTACAACCAGGCTGATCGAACCTCTGGAGAACGACTTTCTCGCCATGCCAAGAGTTCATTCTGGAGTAGTGCGACGCCGTTTGCTGAATTTGCTCAACCGGAAGGTTTCGAGAAGACAGTCAGCTTCGCACGAGATGATTCAATACCTCCTTCAGAATGCTTTGCTTGGTTCAAGGTACCGAGTTTTCAACGATGGTGGAACAGACCTGAGTCATCGGACACATGTACATCCTACACGACAAATTCTGCTTGCAGGCTACAGAGCATTTCGCCTTCTCAAGTGTCGCTATCTTCATCGATCCGGACTTTGAGGAAGCCAGTGGTGACATGGTACACAGGTGCTTGTTACCGCGACATGACGTGTCCTACAGTGGATGACCTATTACATCCGACTTCTCCCTCTACAGGCATGCAGATATCATCCAGCACAAGGAAAAAGTCTATGAGTTGCTCATGCCGACCGATGCTGACATCTTTGTCACAACTTATCCGAAATTTTACCCAAGTTTCTTTCAGTTGGCTACAGTCAGTGCAATCGAACACAGTATTGTCGAGTTCCTCTGGAATTCGGGACGCTTTGTGTCCTTTTGTTGCAACCAGCACTGACATTGACCGATGCAGAGATCCCAATTGCTCCCGGACTTCTTCAGGGCTTTTGTCACATATTCCAACAGGTATTGGTCAGTCCGCCAAACATGATGTTTTTACAGATGTTGTTTCGACACACCGCCTCATACCTCATTTCTCGTGCCAGACAGAAGCAGGTGATCGTCCAGGAGATTACGTTGAAAATTTTGGTGGACACAATACTCAACGGCTACAGCAAACCACTATATCCACAGGGGCTGTACCCGATCCAACCGCTTCGATCCCAACACTAACGCATTTGACAATATCTCGCGGGGCTGTACCCGGCTACAACCTCAGCTCTATGGACAAGGGGGTTTCACCGATGCCAATCTTTAAGCAGTTCTTTTACAGTCAGGACGACAAAAGACGTTTATGCATCACTCAGTCTGATCATGGAGAGTTATGTGTGTTAACCCCAGACATGTCCAGCAGAGATGAACAGCTGTCAGATGATACAGACTTTGATCAAGTGGCGATGCAATGCTTCACAGATGATTTCCGCTTCTACCTCAACGTTTTGAGTTCCATTGGACCTCACGATGGTTATGCTAGTGCAGAGCTCACTAGCTTGCAATCTGAAGCATCATCTTCGTCTCCAGACACTCAACACGACTGGATAGACAACGTGTCAGACACATATCCTACGTCTTTACTGACAGTTGATAACAGTGACGCCTGTGATCCACCTTTGGTCACAACTCAAAGGTCAATGTCCTCAGCAGATGGACTGGACTCAAACGTGCCGGATCTACGTCAACTACAATGTACCATATTCCGTGGGGCTGTACCCGTTTCCAACATCAATCTTTTCCGACTGCTCAGATTGGTCCAGATCACAGGAGACCGAGTACTTGAGTCTGCTCGACGAAATGATGATGAAGTTTTATGGAAGGTACATTCACAGAGCAATTTAGAAGACCTTGACAATTTATTCGGGTTTGATTCCAGAACAATGGGAAGCGCATCAACAACTCTGCTGTATCAGAACAGTGATATTCCCACAAAAGTGGAACAGAGTGTTGATGGTCCTCTACCATTTCTTCGCCCGTTGACGGTGTCAATTTACCGTTGCGACTTCTCAGCATGCTCAGGCAATCTGGCTCACACCATTTTGGCGCCTGTTAATATCCTGCAAGACACCGCCGCTCGCTCTGACAAGGATCAACTTCAGTTGCATCAAGAGATTTTACGATACACTACCTTTAGAGGGGCTGTACCCGATAACAACCGCCTACAGCTTATTTTTGATCTAAGTCTACAGCGATCCTTCTATAGCTGCCCACCACAGGTTGCTGTCGTAGACTCTTCCACTGCATTGATGGACCTCGCTGTCACAGAAGAGCTGTTCTACTGCCACGGAGACCGCACCGCCAGTCGGTGGACCGGTGATGTATACCATGCACAACCGTCGCAGGAGTCCCTATGGCCCCTGACAGTTCTATCACATGTTACCTATCCTATCTGGACGCAGCAGATCCTTCAACAGCCATCCGTCCTTGACGGGGTCATCCGTGCCACTAACCATGCACTCCGTATGCCTTCTCAAATTTCGCTTCAGCTTGATGTCACTAGCGGACCAGACGGACAACTTCAACGACATATGACCATCTCTAGTGGGACTGTACCCAGTTACATCCTTGGTTCACATTGTTGTTCTTCCGCTGGTTCCGTGGAGATCTATGGTCAAGAACACCTTTCAGTTGACATCGACAAAATCCTTTTTCCGACTTCACTATGTGATTGTGGCAATTTCCACTTGCTCAGAAACCCCCAAAGGGGTGGCTCTGATCGACTGGGTGTACCAAGACATCAGAACAATGATGTTGTCCACAATATGCCACAGCAAACAGCCTTATCAGACGCATTTCGACCGATTGCCTCTGCCTGCAACAACCTGCGATCTTCATCCTTTCGAGGTTGGGGCGGAGCGATATATCGTGGAGGACATCCAGCATGGGGTAGATGTGAGATCATTCACATGGAGCCTAATCCGCCATTTGCCGAACGATGTGCAGCAGCCACACAAGACAACGGCTGGCTAGCCTCCGATGAGGCATTATGGTTTCTTCGTTTACTCCGTGACTGGAGATCTGATATTGCCATCGGACCAATCATTCAATGGAGCCCAAGCAGAGATCTCCAACATTTGATGGCAGCAGAAGACCAATTGCAATGCCATAATGGCCAGTTAAACATCCTTCTATTCTTGGTTGAAGCACACTGGTGTGCCATTGAAATTGATCGTAGAACTGAACCAGTTCACGTAGTCCTCATTCAATGGCCGACAGAGCACCATACCATGGTCCTTCTCGAGGTGTCTCGAATCCTGCAGATCCCATCACACCGAATGCTGGTGACGCTGGATGACAGCAATGAAGTGGTCACAATGTGCGGCTGGACAATCCTGTTCCGATGGTACACCAATTTTGCCATGCAGACTTGTCTTCAGCCATTAATTCACGCCAATGAACAGAACCAGATTCGTATCGATACTGTCATCCATCGGGCACAACGACAATGGGACCCCACAAATGCATCCACTCGTCTTCGACGTTTTGCTGTTGAGTGCCGAAGAGCATTTATGTCGGCTTATGCTCGAGATCAACCGGACACCCGACTGCCGAACTCGGTTTCGACCGTCATGTTTGTAGGTCCTCAGGAGGATTATGTCCAAGAGGTGAGTCAGGTACCACGGCCGCCCACCCACCGAGAAAGAGAGATCAACTGGTTACGTAATATGCTCATCCAGCCAGCTTGGCTGACTAATTTCGAGGTAGAATTGGTGTTGCAAACAACAAGAATGCAAATCCTTGACCGTTTCCTGCCAGGTCCACTTCACTTTGATCCGGTTACTGGTCAGCTTGAATCGTTTGTCAATGATCTTCCAAGTGTAGCAGGCTATACAAAAGTGCTGTTCTTCGTTACGCTTAACTACCATTGGATTTCTATCTCTGGTATGCAGCACCAAAACCGATGGATGTTAACAGCTGTTGTACCTGACCCTAAAAGCCGTGACCTGTCGTCTTTGTTCGCTGCAATTGCCACTCTTTTAGAGACATCCCCAGACCGAGTCCATATACAGGCACTCCAAATGCATACGCCGCCTCACCTGTGCGGATGGATCCTGCTTCAGTCATTGCAAGAGCAAAGTC